TGCCATATGGAGATTGAGGAACACATTGGAGTTGGAAAGGAGGCAGCAAAGGAGTGAGTGAATGGGTCTCAGTTTTTGTTGAAGCTGATGCTTTACTGTTGTAGAGCTTCAGCCAAGGTCAGATGTAACTGATGTGGCTTTTGCTTAAGAGAACAATTTTCCAGTGAGTTTGAGTAAAGTGAACATAGAATCTCATAGTTAACTCTGACTTTATATTAGGGAAAGATGACCAAGAAGTGAAGATTTGGTTAACCTGAGAGAATAGTGATAATGATTGGGGGTAGGCCTACTAAGGGCATTCTCTAGAGTTTAAAATTATCAGTTGGCCTACAAGTTAGAGAAAGGGGTATCTTTTTCCTTTAGGACCTTGGTCATTTCTTCCTTTATCCATGTAATTTAAATCTTGAATATTCAAGATTCATGAGGTATGATTAAAAATCAGCTTCTTGTTTTTAAACCCCACTGTCCTTATAAGAATTGTCAGAGAAACACTTTCCCTTCCCTTACATGAAAACTTGGATAAGTTGCGTAAGTTTGCTGCTACTCCTAGTTAATAAAACCTCCTAGGGCTTCTCTAAGTTACAAAAATATCATCAAGTCAGTTATTAAAGGCGTCTAATTTGTGTAAAAATTGTATCTCTAAATTTGATTGAAAATGAAATCTTCCCCTTCTCCTGGGCTCACTGCATTAGGAACCCTGAGGTCAGGAGATAGGGGAATTTCCTTCTCTTGCCCCGTGATTGCAGAGTGTCAAAATTTGATGGGAAAGGAATAAATAAATGTAAACACCTAAAAACTAAATTCATAAAATAAAACATTAAACGGTGAAACATAGTACATCTGGGGGAGGGGCAGTCATGAAATGTTTCCTATGAAACAGTTTTTTTTTTTGAAAATCAAATAATGGATGATTTTTAAGTGGCTTTTATGACCTTGTGGCTAGAAAGTAAAATGGCTACCTTGGAATACTTTCTAAACGTGTATTTTCCCTTGTGGTTTGATGAATAAAGAATTAGAATCTATTTTGAGTTGAGATCATTGATGTGATATATCAATGACATGTTCTGTCAAAAAAAGTTTCATGAGACAAAGTAGAGTCCCTTTTGCTAATTCAGTGTTAATTTTAAATTTAACAGGTTATATTTTCAAAAGGGATTTAATTCATAACCAACGTCCTATTTTCACATCTTACTGATGTCATTCATCTGATGATGCCCCACTGATCTCTTCTGAGTAATTTATATAATTGGGCAAATTAGTTCACAAGTAGTTTCAGTTAGTAGTTGAGAAACATTTGGATTTGGTAGACTAATAAATGGCTACAATGTTATTGATTTCATGAATTTTCCCCTGATCCAAATCCTTTATCTCTGTGAAATAAATTCAATGACATGACTTGATATTTTGGTTCAAAGCTCTAAGCTACTTGTTCTAGTCCTATCCAATTAATTATTATCATTTATGAGACTTGATTCATTTTTTAATGTGAAATGCCATAAATTGATTCAAATACTATTATATTGTTTACATATTTAGAATATTAATTATGTTTTGAGTGATTAATTCCTTGGTAATCTAGCCTTGGTGCTTTGCAAATCTTCTCTGTTGGAACATAATAGACAATTTAAAGATAAAAGCTCATGGGCCACTCCCAGAATTCA